AAGAAAGAAAGAAAGAAAGAAAGAAAGAAAGAAAGAAAGAAAGAAAGGAGGAAAAAAAGAAAAGAAATAAAGAAAAGAAAAAAGCCTTTTGATCAGCACTACACTGGGATCCTGAACACCCAGTGTAGTTGCCAGTGAAGACTTTCTGTTGGCTTAAACGCATGTCTGATCAGTCTTCTCTGGCAGACAGTATCTCTGACCCACAGCAGAGAGGTCAGGCAATATTCTCCAACTTTGTTGACATTGATGGTAGAGTAAAAAGAAAATGGTGTATTTACAAACTTTGTTTCCATTTTTCACTTTCACATAGCCATGCCTATCTGAAGCATACTAAAATATATATATTTGGCCTTTATCCACATTTTTCTTTTTTTGCATAGAGCTCTTGGAGGAGAGTTCATTATCTGGCTGTATCTGTGAATATATAAGAGGATGACGCCAGGCTGGGATACAAATTGATATTGCTGGGAGTCTCTGTCTCGATCAGATATTTCCAGGCATGTTGTTCAAGACATTGAAGAAACATAAACAAATAGTGCAGTAGAAAGGAACAAATCAGAAAGGACAGGATGGATACACTCAAGGGAGCCCCGAGCCCTGAGCAATCATCCCTTCTACAGCATCAGGTCACTGCCAGGGCTTTGTGTGGGGCCCAGGAGAAGATGGCTGACTGTGGCCAATTAAGGTCAGCATAACCAGTTGGTATGTTTAGATCTGTGCATCTTGAAGTAGGTGAGTGTTGTTGAGTGTGTTGTTGGGAAAGGCCTATGCATATAACTTAATCCAAGCGAGGTCCCTAGTTTTGAATGAGTGAGTTTGTTAAGTCTATAGCAAGCCAGAGTAAAAGAAGAAATAGCAAGTAATAGACAGACAGATAGACAGATTAGATAGATAGATAGATAACAAAACATCATGGAATTGGATGCTCAAATAGCCAACAGAAATAGATTTCAGAAGCCCTGTCAAGACAGTCATTTGGAAATTCCACATAGAGAGTCCAGGACAGAGCAGGATTCCTTCAGAGCAGGCTTCCAGGCAAAAGATCAGATAGTAACAGTGTAGGATATGATGTCTCATGAATAATTTAATTATGGAAGGAAACAAACTTGTTCAGCCATCAATAGAGTCAGGGAATGTGCAAAATTTTTTTGCCTGGTGGGCCCAAGTTTTGTTTCTTTTTGTGTTTTGAAACAAAGTTTCTCTAAATAGCCCTGTCTGTCCTTGAACTCACTATGTAGTTCAAGGGTGGCCTTGAACTCACAGAGCTCTGCCTGCCTTTGCCTCCTGAGTGCTGGGAATAGAAGTGTGTGCTGCCACATCCAGCTCTTCCCTGAGGCTGACCTCTGGGGTATATGTTCCCAGTTGGTTTAATTGTTCTAGTTTTTTTTTTTAATTTTATTTTAAATGCTTCCTGGAAAATAAGGTTTAATCTTGAACAAGTGAACCCATTTAGTAACTTTATGGACTTTAACGGTGTCCTTTCAAAATGGGCTAAAGTTGGTTATCTGAATGGCAGCTGTTGTTTTTATTATACTTTCCTTTTGGGTGTTTATAGCCATGTAAGTGGCCAAAAATAAATGTTTTTCTGTGTAAAGTCTGTTGAGACTCTCTATGTGTTTTTCTTGGGGATTTAGGAGTGACCCATTGGCTCTCTTAACTTTCCTGTGTCTGCCATGTTGCCTGTCTGCAGGGTCCTGATGACCATTTGCCATCATATGTAAGCATAGGGAACACCTCTCTCTTCATTGACTCTCTTCCCTGTGGAATGTGCATAGGTCAGAATCCAACAGCCTGTTGGATCAAGAGGACAGGTGACTTAGGAGGGTTTCCTTTCCATGGCTGACCTTTCCGTGTAAGGGGTTAACATTGGCTGCTCTTTCTGAGCCTCTTATTGTCATTGATGTGGGCCAGAAGGACGGCTTTACCAGTTTCATAGTTCTAAATCTTGTACAATATTTAGAGAAAGTTTAGACAACACTAAGATACCTTACAAAAACAAAACATGTCTTGGTTATGATTTCTATTGCTGTGATAAATACCATGAGCAGAAGATACCTAGGGAGAAAAAGGTCTGTTTCAGCTTACAGCTCATAGTCCACCATTCAGGGAAGTCAGGACAGGAACCTAGAGGCCGGAACTGATGTGTATCCATGGAGGGGTTCTGCTTGCTGGCTTGCTTCCAAACTTTCTCAGGCTGCGTTTTCGTTGCACCCAGGGCCATGAGCTCAGGGGTGGTACCACCCAAAAAAAGCCCCGCGCACACCAAACTTGTGCTGGCATTTTCTGAATCGAGGTTCTCTATATCCAAATAACTCTGGCTTGTGTCAAGTTGACACAGAACTAGCCACCACAAAGCAGTTTTTAACTGACTCCTAATTTTGCTAAGACTTACTTTCCAAAGTGATTAAAGTCTAACAAAGTTGGAAAAACACAAGTGATCATCTTGATTAGACAGTTGTTACAAATGTTACTATAAGAAGAGCAATATCTTCAAGAATTTTAATAGCTCTCAAGACAAGAGCTGAATCCAAATTACGTACGTGCCACAATGTAGCGAACTGAGATTTCCCGTCTGTACTTGTTTCTCATCTACCAAGCTTTTTGTTATTATTATAAGTCTTAGGTAAGCCTCCTCACCACTTGGGTATTCATTCATTCAATCACTTTATAACCTGATCTCAGCCCCTTCCCTCATCTCTTCATCTGACCCTCATGCCCCATTTCCCCCTCTTCTTCTCAGAGAAGGGGAGGCGCCCAAGGGGTATCAACGCACCCTGGCACTTCAAGTTGCAGTAGGACCAAGTACATCCTCTCCCACTGAGACCAGATGAGGCAACCCAGCTGGGAGGAAGGGATCCAAGAGCAGGCAACGAAGTCAGAGACAGCCTACTCCCATAGTTAGGAGCTGCACATAATGACCGAGGTGCACATCTGTTACATGGTCTCACAGAGTTTGAGAGCTGGAGGAAGTTTTGCATTCAGCATGAGTCTGTCTGGCTAAAATGCAGAAGAAGTACACAGAGAGCCCAGATTTTTACATGTTCGCCCTGTAGACTTCCGTTTTAGACATAGAAAACATTTATTCCTTTAGTCTAGCACTGAGCAGGGGTGAGGTGTCTGTGGGGCGAATCGTCACCGCAGCCATTGCCTGGCCTTACTCTCTCTTTCACGTTTTACAGGAGTCACTGCTTTCGAATAGAAATAGCATCTTGTAGAGATGTTTGGCCCACCCTATTACATTCTGCACAGTCCTGAGAATAAATAATGATGGCCATATTTTCAGATTTGAATGACTGAGTTTAATAAGCATATAACAAACCAGTGTAAAAGAGTAAATAGAAAACAACAACAACAAAACATCTTTAATCGTGTGCTTGAAATATCCAGGGGGACTCAACAGGGGAAATTCTGCAGAGGCGGTCTGCTGGAGTTCCCAGTCAAGTCAGGGCAGGGTAGAGTCAGCCTCTGGTGGGGCTTCCGGATAAAAGAATAGATAGCAGCCGAGAGAGCAATTATCAACCGGATGCTCACAACAGCCAGCAAGAACTGTCCGTGGAAGCTGAGCAGTCAGCCACAGTTCCCAGCTGAACTTTCTCTCTGTGACTGAGCTCCCATGGCTGAACTTCTGGCTTCTCTTTTCTGTCTTACATCACAGGAGAAACGATTGTACTGTCTGTTAGAAATGGGTCACCTTCTAGCTGTTTTCAGGGATACAATGTTTTCATTTTCACTCTTGGGCTGTTTTGCTGGTTCTTCCTCCCTGTCACAGAGTTAGAGGGGCCAAGCCACCCCTAGACAAGGTGCTTTGGGGGGCATTTTTGAGACAAACATCCTTGGGTTTGAGATGGGGTAGGGGGCAAGCCTGCTTCCAGTCATCTTCTCAGTGGGATCCTTCATCACCGAGCAGTTCACCGCTGTGAGGTACATTGTAAGGTTAAGTTTTATCTAGAATGATAGTTGAGAAGGCAGGACGCCGATATAGAAGTTAGGAACTGAAGTGTGGAGGGACGTTTACGCAGAAAGGTGGGCTCTGGAAGCGTTGTGCTGCTGGCTGCTGCTGGGATGGCGAGTGGAGAGAATACGGAGGACTACGTTAACAAGATGACGTGATTGCATGCTTGAAGTCGTTTGCTTGGATCCTTGTTTGAAAAAATTCTTTCAAAATTCTCCTCAAATATGCTTCCTACTGTGACTCCAAGAGTTTTGAACTTGTCCTGAAAAGGAAGTGGGAAATCAATGATAGCCATCACTTAATAGTCTTAACAGCCAGCCAGTCCTCTGGATAATGGAGAACTTCACTTAGACTGTTCCAAATGGTAAGATCAAACCCGGTTAGGAGGAGGCTATGGGGCCTTTGAGATGGCTCAGCCTCCAAGCATGCCTGAGTTCAATCCCTGGGTCCCCCAAATGATGGAAAGAGAGAGCTGACTCCAATCCATTGTCCCCTGACCCCCATACATGCACCTGCATGCACCTTCTCCCCACAAAGTGAATAAATACAAGTGCAGCCATTTGTTTCTTAAAGAAAGAGGTTATGTTCCTTGATGGTTATGTCCCTTTCTTGGGAAGACAGAAATAAAACTAGCATTGCAGGCTGATTTTCTGTTGCTTTAGATGCCTGAGATCAGGAGTGGTTTGGGTTTCAGAGTTTGGAATATTTGTATATACATAATGTTGGGCTTCAGACCCGGGATGAGCTGCTGAGGTGCCTTTTTTAAGCAAAGTGGACCTGGCCTCTAGGTTCTCCCAGCATCCCTCAGTGCCTACCTGTTATAGGCTGTGGCTGGCACACCTTGCCCTCTACCCTGAACTCTCCAGCCCAGGGGCTGGGCTGCCCTATACATTTTGGTTCCCTCGCTCTCTGCTTTTATTCTCTTTCTTCTGTGCTTCTTCCCCCCTCACTCTGTCCCTCTCTCTGTCTCTCTCTTTCCCTGTGAAGGAATATCATCGATGCCATGATTTGGATTGTATAGTAGAAGGCTTTATCAGACTTAGATCAATAACGTATCAGAAATCTACTGATTAATGTCAAAGCTCTGAAAAGTCTTAATGTAACAGTAGCATAGTGAGGGAGAGAGATGTGAAGCATTTTTTCTTTTCTATGCCTTACATAACTTTCTTACTACCATTGAAGTTTTTACATCCTCCAACCTTCATAACTTGCATTTACCAACCTTAAAACACCTTCTTAGACCCTCAAGCACTTTCTTATAGCCTCATCACTTAGGCTTTCTTCAATCCTCATAACTTACATAAGCTTTACACTTTTTTCCTACCTAATTATTCATCATGAGACACAGGGGTTGATTACTGAGCGCAGCAAAGTGTGTTCCTTTTAGGTAAAGGAATAGTAAGAAGTTATTTCTTTCCATAGTCTAATCTTCTCTTTCTGTGAACTTAAAGAGATTCTTGTAAGCCCCAGGGAATCTGCTCGAACCCATCTCTCACAGGTCAAATGGACTCCAGGTAAGTGTAATCAACAGCCTGTTTTCCCACCTGCCTATTTCTGACAGTAGGATACCCCCCCCCCCACTTTTCCTGATTTTGGGACTCCCCACCTGACCCAACTGCCAAGATCATGGACCTAAAAGTTTCAAATGTACACTCGAGAAAAGTCTATCTTTGACTGTATATCCTGACTCTAACATATACATCTGTTCCAGCAACCTGCCAGGTCCAGTGTTTCTGCATCCAAACCGCAGGCGCCTAGCATCTAGCAGAATGCTTCAACTGGGCCTGCACTTTCCTAGCTGCAGATGGTTCCATAGATCCTGGATAGCAAGTAAAACAGCCTGCTCTTGTCCAATATTTCAGCTTTCCCCTTCCCCAGAATAACAACACCCCAAATGTCAGCAGGAAGTAGTCATAGATGATTACACCACCCCTTATTCATTTATTATAAACAAAAGGCCTTGATGTTGGGCTTCAGACCTGGGACAAGCAGCTGAGGTGCCTAGTTAACCGAAGCAGAGCTGGCCTCCAGGTTCTCCCATCATTCCTTAGTCCCTGCCTGTTACAAGGCATGGCTGACATACCTGCTCTCTAGCCTGAATTTTCCAGCCCAGGAGCTGGGCTTCCCTATAGAACCCAGACATTTTGGTTCCCACGCTCTCTGCTTTTTTTCCTCCCTCTTTCTTTCTTTGTTTTCTCTCTTTTTGCCCCCACCTTGCTTTCTCTCTCTCTTTGGGAAAGAAGCTTATCACATAATAAGATACCACAGGAATAGGACCCAATTTGAAATCCCAAATTCATTTGATTAATATAAATATTTCATAGGTAGCCTGAATGCAGTTTTACACAATACATTTAATATGTTATGCACAAAACAAAATTTTCATGGTATGAGATTTTCCACTTCTGCCATGTGGGAGCTAGGTGAAATATGATAGCACACACGTGCTTAGGAAAATTAACAGGCTCTTCCTTTCCCTTGCACTTTTAATCCTTTGGGAATATAGTTAGGTAGACAAGGAGTTATGGAATTCAGAGAAAAGGCAGATTCTCAAAGCAGCAACTTAAAACTTTGAAATGCTAGCAGGGCAGCAGTGGCACACCGTTAAGTCACAGCCTAGGGAAGCAGAGGCAGGTGGATGTCTGTGAGTTCTAGACCATCCTGGTCTACATAGCAAGACTCATCCAAATGGATCCTTTCAGCAAGCCACTTGTCATTTGATTAAAAATAAACTAAAAGGCTATATTAGGTTCTCAAACTAGCCACCAAACCAAAGGGCAAATGGACAGAATATGTTAATTACGCATTTTAGGGCCCAAAGTAACAAAGGTTAGGCAGTAAACTCAATGACAATGAAGTCATTTATCTATGTCTTATCTCACACACCTGTCCTCAATTTGGGCACAAAGAACAGCTTTTCACTGACTACAACATTAAAATAAAAAGTAACGGAGTAAAATTAATCATTCTTTCCATTGTCTCTATCAGAGACCAATGGAGTCAAGTTTCTACACCCAAGACTCACATCACCCTGGACAAAATGAAGCTTTTTATGTCCACTTCTGCTCCAGTGGACAAAGATTCATTGTGACAATATCATTGTGCCTCCTCCTCCATCTTTCAGTTTCCTGCCTCCATCTCTGTCTGTTGTTCCAGCCTCTGGCTGTACTTTCTCTTCTGGTCTCTCCTCAGATCTTTGAGAATATTTTGTTTTTGTTTTTTTGAGGCAGGATTTCTCTGTATAGTCCTGGCTGTTCTGGACTCACTTTGAAGACCAGACTGGCCTTGAACTCACAGAGATCAGACTGCCTGTGCCTCCCAAGTGCTAAAATTGAAAGCATGAGCCACCATTACTTGGCTTGAGATGATTTAGGTCATCTGAGCCAAAGACTGGGGGCTTTTCTAATTCTATGGCAATTTTTAAAAGATTTATTGTCATTGTTTTAATTATTATTAAGAGCAGTGTTAGTATTGTTATATAGCAGACAGAGGGCAGAGCATCCCTCGACCCTCATCAGAGCAGCCTCTTCTTGCAGTGTATGGGAATCGACACAGAGACCCACAAACTGCACAATGTTCACAAGTGAGAAACTCTGGAGCCCTAAGCCCTAAATGGGATGACTTCATCAAACTCTTCCCCTCGAAGCTCAGGGATCTATATGGAAGAGGAGGCAGAAAGAATTATTATCTTTAAGGATGCATACTTATGTGGTATGTACATGTGAGTTGAGGTGCTTGAGGAATTAAGAAGAAGGGTGTTGAATTCCCTGGAGTTGGAGTGACAGGTGGCCCCCAGAATGTGGGTGCTGGGAACCGAACTCTGGTCCTTTCCAAGAGCAGTGAGTGCTCTTAACTGCTGAATATCTCTCCAGCCCTGTGGTAAGAACTTTTCTCAACAGCACTAGGAATTCAGAAAGAAAAAAAATTTTTTTGAGCTTTTTTATTTTTTTTTTCAATTTGAGAAATCTGATTTTCTCCCTTTATAGATGAGATGCTCTCTTTAAAATACACTTCTGTTCCCTGCAACGATGGACAGCCCTGTAGCCTGTTGCTTTCTGTGGGTGGAAAATGAACTGTCCAGAAGTGGAGCCTTCAGAGGTCCTCGGTGACACACTGTTGCTCTCCCTACCTGTGTTAGGAAGCTTTTAGAGCCCTCCCTCAGGTTTGACATGCATGGGCTTGCCCCATGATGAGGGCAGTTATAGCATCTACCCAGCATGGGAAATGGTAACTCCACTCGAAGCAGAAAGGAAGCCAAGCAGAGCCTCTTACTTTATAGAAGATGCTGTGGTTCTGAAAGATGAGGCGCATGTCCCTCACGAAGGATTGTACTGAATGGTATGCCTTCTTATTCAGCCTCTTCTTGATTTTGTTCAGCCACATGTGCTTCTGGAGGTCTGGAAAGTCCTCTTTCCTCTGTGGAAGACATCATGGAAGGGAGGGCTGTGAGCACAGTCCTGAATCAACCTTCCATTCATTCCCGCAGTCATGGACTCTGTCTGAAATGTTTTCATCTCCACCCCAATCCTAACCCCCTGATGCATTAGAACTAAGAAGTAAAGCCATCACAAGGTCAGTAGGTCACGAAGGTACAGCCCCTCTGAGTGGGATTAGTGCCCTTACTCGGATTCTAGAGAGCACTCTCCCTCTCTTCTCACCATATGAGAGAACAGTCAGAAGTCAGCCATCTGCATCCCAGAAGAAGACTTTTAGCCAGTGGTGGTGGCATACCCATTTAATCCTAGCACATGGGAAGCAGAGGCAGGTGAATCTCTGTGAGTCTGAGGCTAGCCTGGTGAGTTCCAGCTCAGCCAGATCTACACAGTGAGACTCTGTCTCAAAAAAAATATATATATGTAAAAGACCCTCACCAAAACCCAATTATTTTGGCACCTTGGCCTCAGACCTCTGGTCTATAGAACCATAAGACACAAATTACTATTGTATATACTGCCCCCACTCTATGGTAATTTGCTATTATGGTTACCTACACAGAGATACTACCCATCAACAAGGCAAAGACAAAGTCAACCTTTTTTGGGAATCAGATCACAAGGTTTCAATTTTGTTGTTGTTACTCACTTGCTTTGGTTTGGGGATAAAAAAGGCACTTATTGGATAGCAATAGATAGTCAAGAGAAGCTGCTCACATCTCTGCAAAAGATGAAAGGTGATTCTAAATGGAAGATAACTTAGAAAAGGCCTGTTTGAATCCCAAGATGCACGGAACGACACCCAGACCTTTCCCGTCTTTGAGACAAATCTGAAATGTAGTTGCTCTCTGGAGTAGGAAGTTTAGCGGTGGGTGACATGATCAAAGCACATCACCATTTCCCTTGGGGCTCTGGTCCTCACCATCTGTGAGATCGTCTTCCTCTGCTAACCTGCAAGAGGGACCTTCAGCTTTGTACTGACTCACCAGCTGGTCCTTGGATGACATTTTCCTCTTCAGGGCCCCAGATTCCTTAGGACACGCTTGATTTCCTTGGCACTGTAGCTGATCATTTGTCTCTGTCTTGCAGAAGACACAGCACCATTGGCCACTGAGAGGTCAGGCATAAAGTGAGCAAGGGCAGACAGAGTCTGTGAACAAGCCCCCATCCCTGTGGCTGATAAAGACCCTTATTCAAGGATGACAAGTGGTTTCTACCTTGCATTCAACTTTGCTCTGGGAGGATGCTGTACTGGAGCTCCATGGAGCTCAACATGCAAAGATAACCTTCCATTAATACTGAATGTGTTGAATGAGGTGCTTACCTCAAGGAAATGATGGATTCCTATTGACCTCAAAACCTGAAGTTTCCATCTGAACATTCGGAATTTGACAAGCCATATTTGGTCATAACAGTGAATTTAGTGCCTTGAACAAGGAGCCCTGAACCTTGATGAGCCAATCAGACTAGAGGTACAATCAGGAAACCAGAAAGCAGCTTTTGCTTCTCAGCTTTGTTTCTAGCCTTGCTAGAGCACAAGCTATAGGCACCCTTCCTGGCATTGCCAGGTCTGTGCTATAATCCATGTTACAGAAACACTGAAAAGGCAACTTACTGATGGTGTCAAACAGTTTCTACTTTACCCCACATGCTGGCTAATTTTATGTCAACTTGAGTCATTTGGAAGAGGAAACCTCAAATGAGGAAAATGCCTTAACTGGATTGGCCTGTGGGAAAGCCTATGGTGCATTATCTTGGTTGACAATAGATGTGAGAGATCCAGCTCCTTACAGGCTGTGCCACCCTTGGGCAGGTGGTCCTGGGCGCTATAAGAAAACAACTGAACAAGCTATGAGGAGAGAGCCAGTAAGCAGTACTCCTCCATGCCTCTGCATCAGCTCCTGCCTCCAGGTTCCAGCAAATTCTCTGTTAAGAGAATCCCAGCAGAGATCAGCCTCTGGGCCACAGGAGTTCTGTCCACACCATCCACAGAACGCATCAAATCCCTTGTCCACGTTATGGAATCTCACATACCATCTCTGTCCAGGAACACATATACAGCAAAGAAGTGCTTTGGTAGGGGTGGGGGTGGAGCCGGGGTGCTGGCACACAGAGTTCACAGTTCTCATGGTGTGTCCCACAACCCAGAGGTAACTAGTTTGCTACAATGCTGGGTGGACTTCTGAAGGCTCAGTACAGGCCAGCTTTCTCAACTTTGCAATTCCATGGTGGGGAAGGGGAATATATGGCTAAAACCAACAATCACTATATGGCGTTATCACCATATAGGGATGGAGGGACACTTCTTTTAGGCAGCCGCTTGCAAGGTCTTTATTTCCATTAATCTTCTGCCACATGTGCTGCGAAACGGATCGGGATACTTTCAGATCTTGAGACTAAGGGTCTTGTTTCCCATTGTACCAAGACACATCCAACTGGGGACAGCAAGTCTGTGTGTGTGTATGTGAGGGAGGAGGTGTGCCCTCAGGATGAAGGGCCGGGGGCCGGGCTGTCTTACCGACCTCTCATCTTCCACAGGTGGGATGTGGCATTTCTTATGGTAGGAGTTTCTACAGTTGGCACAAGGGTACAGCTTCCATCGCTGGCGGCACACTGTGCATGTTTCTGAATTTTCCAGCTATAAGGAGAAACGTTGCAGATGTCTTCAAGATCGGTGTAACCCAAGAATTCTAGAACACGTGGCCTTTGCCTATACCAAGGAGGCCTAGAAATCTCTCTACTTCAAAGCTGTGTTTCAAATATTTATTTGTTTTTATGTTTATTTATTATTTATTGGGTATTTTGAGGCAGGGTTTCTCTGTGTAGCTTTGGCTGTTCTGGACTTGCTTTGTAGACAAGGCTGGCCTAGAACTCACAGAGATCCACCTGCCTGAGGGCTGGGACTAAATGTGTGTGCCACCACACCTGGCTTTACTTATTTTTATTTTATTGTATTTTATTAGTTTTGTGTGTGCCTGAGTGTCTCTATCTCTCCTTTCATCCCCCCCCTCTCTCCATATTATGTATATATACATATATATACATATCAATATTAATTAACATTAATACTTATACATAAATATATTAATATATCTCAAAATATATGTTAGTATATTCATTATATATTAATATATTAATTACTATATATAGGCCACATATGTGCAGGTGTCTGCAGAGGCCAGAAGAGGGACTCAGAGCCATGACTTGGATTTGCAGGTGGTTCTGAGCTGCCATGTGGGTGCTGGGAACCAAACCTGGGTCTTCTCTGAGAGCAGCCAGTGCTCCTAACTATTGATCTATCTCTCTAGCCCATTTCCTCAAAATATTAAGGAGTAGTATTGAGCAGAGATTTTAGAAGAAGACATCCTGGTTTGAAACAAAGTTCAGGGACTTGTTGGGACACGTCAGACTAGAAAAATTTATATTGTGAAATTAGGAGTCCTGACACTAAAATAACAACAACTTCAATAGCAAGAGTAGCATATATATATGAATATATATATATATATATATATATATATATATGAATTAAAGATAACCTGATACATTTATTATTCAGGAAAGCCTGACTCCAAAATGCAATGTCTTATCTGTCTTAATTAATCAGTTAATTTCATCACTGTAATTTTCTTTGAGAGGGACCTCATGTAGGCAGGGCCAGTTTGGGTTCTGATCCTCTTGGCTCAGCTTCCAAGGTGACATTTCTAAAGTTCAAGGAATGTGGCCAGGGGAACCACCCAAGGTTGAAGATCTGGCTAAACGACTAGAACCTGGGGATTCCCTGGGTTCTGCCCTGCACCCTTGACTCATCTCTTTTGCCTCAGTTTAATGGCTCCCCCCATGACCACCCTTCCCTAGACTTTCAGTTCTGTGTTCTGGCCTTGTTTGAGCCTGCAGCATTCATACCCTGATCCTCCTGGGAGATCTCCATTGTTCTGTAACACTGACTCTGTTCCTCTTTTACGTTTGAAGCCTGGGTGTGAACCCTCTATACACACCTCCCTCCTCCCCCAGCCCCCCATCTCAGATGCCCAGCCCTATACCAGTCATGTTCATCCCAATTTTTAGGTCTTGCCTCATTCTCACGCTTGTTTAGGGCTTGCTGTTATTGTGGTGCAGAATCCATCACTTATAACATTACCAGCAAAGGAAAACACCTAATGAGTCAGGGCTGAAGTGAATAAAATTATCATTTGTGGTTTCTTCACCCAGACATTTACTACGGTACAAGAACTATACAGGAAGTGCCAATTCTAGACTGAAAAAATGAATCTGGTCTGCAGGATCTCTTTCAATAGGAACCTTGAATGGTCCATGGGGGACATCTTGGGAGGGGACATCTATCTCCATCCCTCTTGCAACAGAAATGTCAGGTGAGGCTTTGTTTCCTGAATACTCTTTTCAAACTACTGGGTCAAGGCTTCTGAGTCTTCAACCTATCAAAACACTGCAAACGAGACCCAAGAAAGAGCAGTAAACAGCAAATCTACATGGAGTTCCATTGTCTGGAAGCCTGGTGGCCTGAGGTTTGTCTTTTTAATGTGGGCATGGAACCCAGGCCTAGCCATCACTGTACCATTAAGGCCCATCTCCATGTACCTCCAGCTTCCCTGGCCCTCCCTCCATGGTACTGGAGTTCTGGAGTATGCTAGACAAGCACCCTACCACAAGGCAAACACTGAGCCCTGCTCTTGCCTCTTTAATATTTTATTTTCATTCGAAATTTATATGTATGGATATTTTGCCTGCATGTATGTCTGTGCACCACTTGTGAGCCTGGGGCCTGCAGGGGTAGGAAGTTAGAGTGCCTGGAATCAGAATTACACATGGTTGCTAGCCACTATGTATGTGCTAGGTTTTCAAACCCAGGTCCTTGAAAGGGCAGTGAGTGCTCCTCTCCTTTTTTTTTTGGGGGGGGAATATAATTAGAGGGAGACAAATGCAGTGACAGAAAGTATCTACAAGCAGCAGATAGGATATGCTTCATGGGGGAGAAGCAACTACATGATTCATGGTGTGTCATACCAAGTCTCGAAGTAAAGACCACTAACTCAAAGAACCACTAACAACAGTGACAGCAGCACAAATCTTCTGCTGATGTTAAACATCACAGACCACATCCTAAAGGGCAAACAACCCCAGCAGGTCTTTTTTTTTTTGTTTTGTTTTGTTTTGTTTTGTTTTGTTTTTCAAGAAAGGATTTCTTTGCATTACACTCCTGGCTGTTCTGGACTTGCTTTGTAGACCATGCTGACCTTGAACTCATAGAGATCCACCCAACTCTGCCTCCCTGAGTGCTGGGATTACAGGCATGCACCACTACACCTGGCTGAAATTCATGTTTTAACTCTAAAAATATTCTCAAGTGACTTTAACTCCAGGATTCTTGCTTCCAAAGACACACTTGTATTTTTCACCATATCCTGAAGACATCAAAGATTCTCAAAAGGGAAAGCCCCCGTCTCTAGTCACAAAGCAGCTTCCTTCTATGGGTTTTTGTACTTACGCAGCAAGTCCTAGAAAGATGCAACAATAGAAAGCCGAGGAGAAGAGGCACAGGTAAGATGACTTTATCTGACAAGTTTTCTAAATGCCGTTCATGATTTAAGAGGGGACAAGGAACAGGGTCCATACTGCTTCATAATCACTTCCGTTGCTCATTCCATTGATATTTCATTCCAATGAGAGCTACACACTACTTGTCAGCTTGGCTTTGTGGCTGCTGATATTCATACTTTCTTGAAATGGAACACATTTCCACTTGTCTTAAGCAAATTTTGCTCATTGTGTCATAAAAATTGGCCTCTGACAACATTTCTTCCAGAGGTGGCACACTAAATATTCTTATAATTTTCCTCTTATTCCTCTTGGCGTACATGAAGAGACCAAAGCTAAAAAGGATCACTATCAAGTAAACACTGGTGGTTTCATTCCAGGCTTCATGGACTGTATAATCTATAGAGCCATCGCTGAAATACCAGGATCACGGGACCCTCAGAGACCACCAGGAGACGACTCGATGCAAGAGCAAGAGAGCTTTATTATGAGAGTGATCGAACTCGGGACCCAAGTATCACTGACACAGCAGGAGAGAAGTAGAACCCCAAGCCCTGAGTGAGCAGGGTTTTTAAAGGAAAACTGCAAGCAGGGTATTTCCATGACAGCAAGCAGGGGGTTTCATGCCTTGGCGTTACAGGATTGGGTAAAAGCCATAGGAGAAAGGTGACCGTTTACATAACCACAATTGCCAGGGAAATTGTCTCTATTTTTTACTAAACATTTATTCTGTGATATTTCCTGGAGGCTGTTGCTAGGAGAGCTAACTTTCTTTTCTGCCAGGTGCACATTCTGTGATATTTCCTGGTATATGAGTTCAGCTCCCCGTTAAGATGGCTCCTCATTTCAAAATGGAGTCACTCAGGCTAACTTAACTCTTCAACATCATCCATAACACCATAATTTCCAGCCATGGGATCTAGCCTTCTCCTGCTGCCGTGTCCAGAGCCTGTGCAATCTGCTCTAAGTGGCATACAGGACAGTGCTCTCCCAACAGACCGACAGGCCGTCTCACATCTTGGCCGGCAACTCGGTGGCCACTGGGAACCTCTGCATGCTGCAGCTGCCCCTGCGCAGGCGGGGCGGTGATGAACTCGGGTGAGCGGGCGGGTACTCATCGGCTCTGGAGGTGTGGAGGCCGCCATGCTGAACCGTCTCCCCACCTTTTTTAAAGAAGAAATTTGTTCTCTTATTTAATAGTAGTCTTCAATGTGTTATAGACTAAAGTCACTCATGGAATGAAAAAAATAATTCAAGGCTTGAGAGTATAGCTCAATGGTAGAATGTTCAACCTAGCATCAACAAGGCCCTAGGTTTGATCCTTGACACTGAGGGAGAAAAACAAAACATATATCTAGGATTCCATTATCAGCAATTTCAAGTCTCTGAATTGGATCCTTGAATGTTCCGAGGGGTTCTGAGGCACAGCCATCAGGTGAGATCTCTGTGTATGAAGCAGTGGTTCATTGACCAGCAGCCTCAGCATCTGCCTCATTCACCCAAGTGAGTTATCCAGAGGTGAAGCTGAGGTGGCTGCCTCCAGCAGAAGAATAAGAGAAGTGTGGCAGTGTCTGCAGCTGGTGCCTTAAGAGGTCAGAAGAAGCCCTTCTTGGAAGTCCTGGGACCAGGGTTAGAGATGGTTGTGAGCTCCCATGTGAACGCTGGAAATAAACCAGTGTCTTTTGGAAGAGCAGCTAGTGCTCTTAACCACTGAGCTATCTTTCCAGCCCCTGGGTTTTAAAAAATGACATTTTCTTTTCTTTTCTGCATGTATGTAGATACTGATGTGACACCTAGGTGGAGAGCGAAGGACACATTTTGGGAGCCTGTTTTCTCTTTCCATCTTATGGTTTCTGGGGATTGAACTCAGATCATCAGGTTTGGCGGCGAGTACCTCTACTTCCAGAGCCCCTATCGCCAGTCTGATCTTTTACTATTTTTAAGGATCTTTTCTACCTCAGGCCCAAATGTTTTAATGTTAAATGGCACCCTGGCCTTTTACATTGTGTAATATTTTAAAATATGAACCGCAATAATGCCATATTATAAAATCCATTTCATCATAATCAGTGAATTTAACAAGTATAATGTGGCACAGACAGGCAACTAACAACTTGCAGATGTTGGCCTCTGACCTCGTGGCGGGAGGTCACAGGGCAGTTACCTTTTGCTTTGTTTGCTGTGGATTTGGTGGGTTTTCTTTCTGAAAGACAGAAGAGATCACTCATGTGATGGCTCCCAACGTTGGTTCCCATCTCTATCTCAAATGTTTTCATGCTCAAAAAAGATCTTACACTGTGTAAAACAACAACTATAAGAGCACCATAAAATAAAGTCTAGTCTGGTCAAATCCAAACGTGTCAACTCCAAAATGTATAAGGCTGTGCGGAGATGGAAAACAAACAATTTGCAGACAATAGCCTCAGACAACATGGCAGGACACGGTGGTATAACTACCTGTTTCCTCTTCCGTGGTGGGTTTGGTAGTTTTCCTTCCTGAAAGACAAAGAGGTTAGAGATGCAGTGGGTCTTTGGTTTTATTTCATGAGCTAGGTATTTCTAACTGCCTTCTAGATATTGCTAGCTGGGTGTCCTGTTGTTAAATACAAGGTGTCTTCATAGAAATTATTTCCCATGCTCCCACAGTGAGTCAATCAAGGAAACATTTAGACTTCCCCTCACCCCCAGCCTGGTCCTTTTTACAGTGAGCTCAGACAAGGCATGCCACTTGATTGCTTATAGCTTCCTGACACACTGAGGGCTGGTTTTCATGCTCTTCTTTCCCCATGCAGAAAGCCCCATTCTACACTTTGTCAGGACTATCGTCCTTTATGACCCGACTCGGTGAAGACTGTTCCATGACACTATCTTTAACCTCCAACCCAGAACTAGCCATCTCAACTATTGGCTATACTAAGCTAAGCGATATTACAGCATCACTTCCTGTCGGCGCCTCTCTTCACAGCAGTAATCGTGGTGGGTCTGCGGGTGCAGCCTTGCCCTCGCCAGGGGCTCACACCTGCATTCCCCATGGCTTTCGACGCAGCTCAGCCGATACTCAGTGAGTGACCCTTTTTCCTTTATTGTGAGAATGACAAAGGGAAAGGCCACCTGAGACATTGACAGAGAGACACCAGTGTTCCCTGAGTCAAAAGAAATAGGTTCAGCTTCCAAGGAAACCTCCCGACTTTCCCCAATTCAGAGGATTAGTATCAATGAAGATCAAAGAACTTATTTTTAAAATGCAAACTTTAAGTTACTTTTATTTATTTTTCTTTTGGTGTGGAGGAAGTTGATGTATGGTCTCACTCTGTGATCTAGGCCATCCTGGGACTCACTACGGAGTCTGGGCAATCTCTCTCCCTCAGTTTCTGGAATTATAGGTATGACCCATCACACTCGGCCATTCCTTTTCAAGACTAAGAGTGAGATGATGTTGTGGAAGAAATACTCCTGCAACATTCCGCAGCTCAGGCACCCACACGGGCAAGTTATCTTCAGATATGCAGCTACAGATCATTTCCGCCCCTGGCACGACAAGTTAAAACACCACCATCCCAATTTAAATTATATCCACGCTACCAAATTTTATGCAACCAGTTAGGAGTAAAGGCCACAGTCTGTTCTCCTACCACCCAAAGGATTCGAGTAAATGCATTTAAGAGAATTAAGCTATAATACAAGCCAGCCAAGGTAATGCTTGAATGGTATTCTGGCCACAAGCCATAGTGGTATTGTGGACACAGAATTCTGCTAACATCTGGTACCAGTGGGTTATGACAGTGAGATCTTTGATTGAAGCTGCTAGTCACAACGAGAAAGCTTCCACAGAAGCTCCCATTCACACAGAGGAAACTTGCAATCCACCATCTTACTCAGGAGCCGTGGATGCTATCTGCTACCATATTACCTTTATCAGCTCTTGCAGGGTCCATCCGAAGCAGCGTATGCTTTGCCTCCATTTCTTGGAATTTTGATGTTTTCCTTCAATTTCAAACTCTGGGGGAGTGAACCATTGTCCCTTTTTATTCTCTATGCTCTTCTCATAGATGCCTGTAAGACAAAGACAAACACTATCAGCTCTATCATGCTGGACCTAGGGCTCAGGTTCAAACTCAGGAAGGTGTGCCTTTCCCTCAGTCACCAGGGGCCACACATTCAACCCGACAGGCAAAGGCACAGAGTAACTACCACTGACATCGCCCTTTAAACGTTTTCTAGAAGAATTCATTTATTTTGGAGTATTTGTGCTTTGCCTGCAAGTGTGTCTGCGCACAACATGCATATTTACTGCCCACAAAGGCCAGAAAAGAGCATTCTCTCTCCTGGAACTGTGTTTATAGATGGTTGTGAGCCACCATGTGGGTGCTCGGAATCAAACTTGGGTCCTTTGGAAGAGCAGCTAGTGCTCTTAACCACAAAATTGTCTTTCCCGCCTTTATGTAATGTAATATTAAGAGAAAAAAAATAAACGAATGTTCCTAAGACATGACCAGGATTCTCTCTCTTCCTTTTACTGTGCTTGGGGTAGGGCCAACTTGCATTTTAGAAAGGTGAGTGTGGATACAAAGTTCCCTGCTGGGCTCTTGTGAATCCAGCCATGAGGAAGCTGTCACCACAGAAGGCTGCTCCTGCCTCACTTCTACAATGTTGTTCTTTCAGCTCGTGACAGTTGGCTATTTTGCATATTTTGTTTGTTTCCTTCTTTGCTTGTGAGTTTCTCTGTGTAGCTCTGGCTGTCCTGGACTCATTTTGTAAACCTGGCTGGCTCGAACTCACGAAGATCCACCTTCTTCTGCCTCCCCAAGTGCTGGGATCATAGGAGTGCAGCAACGTGCCTGGCTTACTTTGCATATTTTAGACGCGTGGCTATTTGATGTTAAAAAGTGTTTCTGGAAATGCTATCTAAAGGGAATGCCTAAATTACATGTAGGCAGTAGAATCAAAGGGGGAAAATCTGTTTGTTGATAACAAAAGAACTACACTGGAGCTAGAGAGATGGTTCAGTGGTTAAGAGTGCCTGCTGCTCTTGCAGAAGACCCGGGTTCAGAGCTCAGAGCCCATGGGGCAGCTCACAACCGTCTGTAACTCCAGTTCTTATGTCCTCTTTTGGTCTCCACAGGCACGAGGCACATTTGCAGTGCACAGACACAGGTGCAGCCAAATATGCATACTCATAAAATAAAAACCTTAAGAAAGAACTGTGTTGTGGGAAGGAAGGTCAGTCATGACAGATGATAGACCACTAGTTCTGTACTTTAACAGTGGTAATTTTCACAGTAGTCTTTTTTTCCGCTCATGGCAATATGGTGAGGGATGTCTTATTCTCATTGCATAAAAGAGGAAGTTCCGTGTTAGAGAGACTCATGTAGATGATAGAGAAGCTGGTCTATGGTTCAGCTCTGACTGTCTCCCCCAGGGTTCACACATTGAAAACTTGTTGAATAGTCCAATAGAGCAAAGAACACAGGGACAATACACTGGTAAAGCTAAATTCTCTTTCTTCCAATTCAAAATTTCTACTTTCCTTAGCTTAAAGTTGGACAGATATTACAGGTAGTGGACCCACAAAGCTTGAGGATGAACTTCCCAGGCAGGTGTGGAAGCGCTCACTCTGGTATGAGGTGCTACATGGGGATCTTATTTGCCCTTTTCACAGAGGCAAGGGGAAGTAACCTGTTAGGCTATGGGTTTATAGTAAAACATGCAAAACTGCAACTTGTGGCAAGAACAGTGGCATAGGGCTGGCCTCATATGCACAAAGCCCTGGGTTTCTCAAGGAAGAGAAAAAAAAATATATATATATACATATACATATACAGAAAATGCCCTTATTCCTGCTGCCTCTCTGGGGTGTGATACCAAAACAAACAAACAAACAAACAAACAAACATAGCAGGCCTGAGACTCTCCCAAGAAGCTGCCATTGAGTGAAATAGGCCCTTGACTGGCATCTGTGAATGTTACTCCCAGAAACACCACAGGTGTGTTTATCTTGTTGTGCCAAAGTTGTTTACAGACAGTACACATGACACATGAGACCCATTTTCCTTGTGGGCATCTACTGAGAGAGGTACCTCCATAACTCATGGCTCATAGAAGCCCCAGCGCTGGGCTCAGGCAGCCCCTGGAAGAACTTTTGTTGTTGGGGTAATTAAATGCACTCTGTGTCTCCACTACAAGAGTAATGTCAAAAGCTCTGGTTCTTCTGGACTTGGCCTCGCATCATGCCCTCTTTTCTTTTTTTCTTTTCTCTTTCTTCCTTTCTTCCTTTCTTTCTTTCTTTCTTTCTTTCTTTCTTTCTTTCTTTCTTTCTTTCTTTCTTTCTTT